GGAGCATCTGGATGCATTCGAGGCCGGAGAACCCGAGGATCCGGGCAATCGGTGTTAGGACGCAGATCCTACATCGTCGACATCTTAGTGCCGGCGGATAATTGGGATCAGCTATGCGACCGTGTCGAAGATCTGCTGGAGGCGTGCGACAAATGGAACTTGTCGATCAGCGTTGTCAAGAGCTTCTGGGGCATGCCCAAGGTGGAATATCTCGGTCACAAGGTATCGCACGATGGACTGGAGGCGAATCCGAAGGATCTGTCGGCGCTGACGGATCTCGAGTTTCCCGGATCCCTGCGTGCCATGCAATCCTTTTTGGGCAGCCTCAACTATTACACTCGCCTCATCGAAGATTACGCGCTTTACGCGTCTGTGCTGTATGAGTTGAGGGAGATCGACTATGCTGCGATGGAGAAGGGCATGAATCGGAGCCGGATCCAGCTAGCACTAGCATCGGAATCTCCGGATCCAGACATAGTGACCAAGGATCCGACGAGTCCGCAAAGTTTGGATCCGAGCCCGCGGGGTCCGGATCCCGAACTTAGTGATCAAGATCCGGACCTAGCAGCACGGGATCCGGCGCTTGCCTGTGTGAAGACGGCCAACCCCGAGAATGACGATCTTGCGGATCTGGATCCCAGGTGGATCCATGCTCACCGATCCTTCAAGGTGCTAAAGGAGAAGATCGCGAAGACACCGATCTTCCGTCGATCCGGATCGACAAGCTGTGGTGGTGGTATATGCCAGTGATTGGGCGATCTCCGGTTCACTCATGCAAGAATATGATCAGGTTTATTATCCGGTGATGTTCGCGAGCCGTACGTTGAAGTCCAACGAACTAAACTACGGGATCGCAGAGAAAGAGGTGCTAGCATTGTTACGGATCCTAGATCTCAACTATAACACTTTGGTTGGGAGACCGATCCGAGTGTTGACGCGACATTCCACACTGGCTTGGTTATTTAGATCCAATGCATTACAAGGACGTCTGGGACAGTGGGCCGCGCTACTTTCACCCT